CATATAACAGAGCTGACTCTACAGCCTACTTTAAAAATTAACATAGAAAGACTTAGATATACACACTATAGCTGTGTTTTTAAACAGCAGAAACTCTTGAATGTGTTCAGGTAGAAATATGAACAGCAATATTCAGAGCAAAAATACAACAGAAAAGAAGGGGAAACAAACCAAACTGCTCATAAATATTTTTGAAGGTAGGGGTGCCTGGGTGGCTCATTGGGTTAAAGCCTCTGCCTGCGGTTCAGGTCATTATCCCAGGGTCCTGAGATCGAACCCCATATTGGGCTCTCTGCTCAGCAGGGAGCTTGCTTCCCCCTCTCTGTCTCTGCCTGTCTCTCTGCCTAGTTGTGAGCTCTGTCAAATAAATAAATAAAATCTTTAAAAAAATATTTTTGAAAGTAAATAAACTCTTGGACTTCAGTGCAAATGAATTACACTTACATAAATCAACATGTATAAAATTCAATATAATAATGAAGGGAATAAAAGCAAGGCATATAGTCCATTCCATTTATAGAAGGGTTAAAAAAAAGCTAAGCAAGATACTGCTTTAGAATATATATGTATAGTAAAATGGTATGGGAAAGCAAGTGAATAATTATAGAAAGCTGAGTTCATCCAGAAATAGGAAAACAGACAAACAAGACAGGTGAAACAGGTGAAGAATATACTAAGGATCTTCAAAAGCACAGTACATGTTCTTTTTCTTTAGCCAGATGGGATATACAAATGTGTCTGTTACATTCTTTAGAATATGCACTCTTTTAAAAGTATGATATATTTCATTTGGCAAAAATAGCAAATGGACTAATGAGCAGTTTTCAAATAAAATTCACACTTAAAATTCAAATACAAGGGCACCTGGGTAGCTTAGCCAGTGAAGTATCTGCCTACGGCTCAGGTCATGATGGCAGGTTCCTGGGACTGAGTCCCACACCAGGCTGCCTGCTCAGTGGGGAATGTGCTTCTCCCTTTCCTCCCTGTTCACGTTGTCTTTCACTATCTCTCTTGCTTTCTCTCTCTCTCTAATCTTTTTTTTTAAAGTTCAAATACAATTTTTGTGCTAGTATGTATAAATTCGAAGGTACTAAATAGCATAGCCGTTACAAATACTCGAGTATGAGGAATCTTGAGGACTGTTGTGTCCATATTCATGAGCAATACTGGTCTGTAGTCTCCATGACGTCTCTGTCTGGTGTTGGTATCAGAATGACAGTTTCATCTTGCCATTTGCGACGACGTGGATGGAACTAGAGGGTATTACGCTGAGCGAAATAAGTCAATCAGAGAAAGACAACTACCATATGATCTCCCTGATATGAGGAAGGGGAGATGCAACGTGGGGGGTTTGGGGGTAGGAAAAGAATAAATGAAACAAGATGGGATCAGGAGGGAGACAAACCATAAGAGACTCTTAATGTCACAAAACAAACTGAGGGTTGCCAGGGGGTAGGGAGAGGGTGGTGGGATTATGGACATTGGGGAGAGTATGTGCTATGGTTAGTGCTGTGAAGTGTGTATACCTGGCGATTCACAGATCTGTACCCCTGGGGCTAATAATACATTATATGTTAATTAAAAAATTTAAAAATTTAAAAAAAAAAAAACCAGAAAGCCAAAACAAAAAAAAGAATGAGTTTCTCAATCTGTGTCTTTCAAGACATTTGCTCATATCATTTAAGTTGTCTAATTTGTAGTGTAAAGTTGTTTATATTTGCATTTAGTCTTTTTGATTTCCATAGGGTTGGTGATGATACCTTCTGTTTGATTCATGATTTTGGTATCTGTGACTTTCTTTTTTTTTTTTTTCTTGGCCAAGCTGGCTAAAGGTTTATCAATTTTAAAGAATCAACTTTTGGTTGTATTGATTTTCATTACTGTTTTTCTGTTTTCCATTTCATGGATATCCATTCTGATCTTTCCCACTTCCTTCCTTCAGTTTTCCTTGAATTTATTTAGCTATTCCTCTTCTAGTTTTAGGTGAAAATGTAAATTTCTGTTTCAAGATCTTTCTTCTTTCTAACTAGGCATTTAAAGTTACATATTTCTCTATAAGCACTGTGGTAATTGCATCCCATAAATTTTGATACACTGTGTTCTCGTTTCCATTCAATTCAAAACACCTCCTAATTTCCTTCTGATTTCTTTTGACCCAGAGACTATTTCGAAATGTGTTAATTTTTAAGAATTTATATTTTCTCAAAATTCCTTCTGTTAATTACTAATTAATTCTACTATGATAAAAGGACATACTTTTGTATGATTTCAACACTTTTATTTTTTTTATTTTTTTTTTTTTAAAGATTTTATTTATTTATTTGACAGACAGAGATCACAAGTAGGCAGAGAGGCAGGCAGAGAGAGAGAGGAGAAAGCAGGCTCCCCGCGGAGCAGAGAGCCCAAAACACTTTTAAATTCAGAGTTTTATGGCCTAGCAAAGGGTCTATCTAATCCAGACAATGTTTCATGTAAGCTTGAAAATAATGTGTATTCTCTGCTGTTCTTAGGGAAAGTATTCTATAGATGTGCAGGTTTGATAGTGGTTTATAGTGTTCTATAGTGGTTTATAGTGGTTTATAGTGTTCTATAGTGCTCTTCATTTACTGTATCTTTGGTCATATTCTATCTAATGTTCTATCACTACTGAAGTCTTTAATAGCCACCTGTTGTTGAATTGTCTATTTCTCTCTTCAATTCTGTCAGGTTTTGTCCTATGTATGTGGAGGTTTTGTTGTTTATAACTGTTTTTTTAATGGTAAATCAAGGATCCATTGACCTTTTTATCATTATAAAATGTTTTTTCTATTAATAATTTTTATTTTAAAATCTATTGTCTAATATTAGATAGCTACTCCAGCTCTGTTTTGGTTACTGTATGCATCGTTTATCTTTTTCCATTCTTATACTTTCGATCTTTTGTATCCTTGAATCTAGAGTATGTGTGACTTTGAGTCTTGACTTTGTCACCAGTATTTGCATGACCTTGGCAAAGTTAATTCAATTTTCTAAACATGAGCTTCTTTACCTATAACACAAGAATAGTAATATACAAAAAGATTGTTATCAAGATTAAATGAGACAAGGTTTGCAAGTAGTTCTGCCTAATATGAGTAATGAATATTCAGAAGTATTACAAAAATTATTACTGAGAAACATTCGTTAGATTATTCCTTTCTGCCCATGGATGCTGCTGAGTAAGCTTCGTTCAAGTCTCCAATCCCACCACCATCATGTCTAAGTCAGGGTCTCCCAAAGAGCGTGAACAGATGCAGAAGCTCTTTATTGGAGGTCTGATCTTTGAAACCGATGAGAGTCTGAGGAGCCATTCTGAGCAATGCAGAACACTTACGGAATGTGTGGTAATGAGAGATCCAAACACCAAGGGCTCCAGAGGCTTTGGGTTTGTCACATATGCCCCTGTGGAGGAGGTGGATGCAGCCGTGAATGCAAGGCTACACAAGGTGGATGGAAGAGTTGTGGAACCAAAGAGGGCTGTCTCAAGAGAAGATTCTCAAAAACCTGGTGCCCACTTAACTGTGAAAAAGATTTTTGTTGGTAATATCAAAGACGACACAAAAGAATATCATCTAAGAGATTACATTTGAACAGTAGGGGAAAATCAAAGAAACTGAGATCATGACTGACTGAGGCAGTGTGTAACCATCCCTCAGAACAATGTACTGACCAAACACACTTGAACATGTACCAGCAATAGGCCTCTGTGGGAGAGGATGATATACATCCTTGAAGCCCGAGCAGCTGGGAACACCCAGCCTGATTCTTTTTTCTGTTACCTCCCCTTCTCTAGAGATCATCTGTAGTTAATTAGATGATTCCTTTAAATGTGTTTACTCAACCACAGATCCTATACTGCTTGATCAGGCATATCTTGCTTGCTTGTTGATTGTTATCTGTATCTAATAAGTATGGGACTGAGGAGTTGTTTTGGGATGCAGTCTTCTCAATTGCCGACCCTTGCTCCCATTCCCTTGAAGCTGACTTGTTCATGCCCCATTCTTCTCCCGCGTGCATTTGGAAAGTGGCAAGTGGTCATTGGAAAACAGCAGCAGTGGCAAAAAGAGGAGTTCTGCTTTGTAACATTTGATGACTATGACTCTGTAGACAAGACTGTCATTCAAAAATACCATACTTTGAATGGCCACAACTGTGAAGAACGGAAAACCCTATCTAAGCAAGAGATAGCTAGTGCTTCATCCACACGAAGAGGTCTAAGTGGTTCTGGAAACTGCTGGTGGTCATGGAGGTGGTTTTGGTGGGAATGACAACTTTGGTGATGGAGGGAACTTCAGTGGTCAAGGTGGTTTTTGGTGGCAGTCGAGGCTGTGGTGGATAGGGTGGCAGTTGGGATGGCTATCACAGATTTGGTAATGATGGAAGCAACTTTGGAGGTTGCAGATGCTGTAATGATTTTGGCAATTACAATAATCAATCCTCAAATTTTGGACACATGAAAGGAGCAAATTTTGGAGGCAGAAGTTCTAGCCCCTATGGTGGTAGAGGCCAATACTTTGCTAAACCACGAAGCCAAGGTAGCTATGGTGGTTCCAGCAGCAGAAATAGCTACAGCAGTGGCAGAAGGTTTTAATTACTGCCAGGAAACAGCTTAGCAGGAGAGGAGGGCCAGAGAGCTGACAGGGAAACTACAGGTTATAAAGATTTGTGAACTGAGCCAAACACAGGGGTAGCAGGGCCTAGCTGCTTCAAAGTAGACATGTTTTAGACAATACTCATGTGTATGTACAAAAAGTTCAAGGACTGTATTTGTGACTAATTATATAACAGGTTATCATAGTTTCTGTTCTGTGGAAAGTATAAAGCATTCCAACAAAGGGTTTTAATGTAGTTTTTTTTTGCATCCTTGCTGTTGATTGCTAAATGTAATAGTCTGATCATGCTGAATAAATGTGTCCTTAAAAAATATATTACTAATGTTACTACCAAAGAAGATAAAAAAACTAATCAAAACAGAGACTCACCTTTTCTGATAAATACTGTTCATATATTCCAACAGCAGCTGCTCTTAAGAGACCTTTGGTTTGGTTGGTTTGATGTTTTCCATCTTTCTGACGACTTAATAAAACTTCAAGTTGCTGTTGGGCTGTAACTCGGTATCCTTCCACTGTCATCCAGAAGAAGAGATGTGCTTGACCTCCAGTTTGCTGCATGTAATCTAACAAACAAAATCCATAACAACATAGATATTAATGTCACATATTTTTGGATGCATGTAGCCATGCAAGTTAAGAAGGATTAAAGTTTCAAAGACTTAAAACTCTACATTTTCAAACTGTTAAGAAATGTTTAAGATGAAGAATGCTTACATCACAAATTGGTTAGGTTAAAAAGACCACAGTTATGTAGAAAACACAAATGGATGCACACATTTTTTTTTTAAATCTCATTTTTCATGATAAAATTTCTAGGAGATAAAATTACTACAGAAGGCTTCATCAGAAAGAAACTACTTCAGGAACATTTGGCTTCTGTTCTCAATAAAGATTACTGATTATAATATTAATATTCTTACAAATATTAAAAGTAAGGATTAGGATCTTCAATAAGCCATGCATTTATATTTTTGGTCATGAAAATGAAGAATCAGGGAGGTTAACTGAAAATGTCCTCCAGATAAAAAGCAGTTTTGATGTATAGTTGACCCCTGAACAATGCGGGTTAGATCAGGGGCACAACTCACCATGGACTCAAAAATCCATGTATAATTCCTGACTTCCCAAAACCGTAACTACTAATAGTCTACTATTGACTGGAAGCCTTCCAATTATATAAACATTTAACACATACAACATTCTGTATGTACTATATTCTTAAAGTAAGCTAGAGAAGAAAATGTTAAGAGAATCAAAGGAAAATACATTTGTATTACTATACTGTATTTATCGAATATAATCTGTATAAATAAGTGAATCTGCACAGTTCAAATCCATGTTGTTCAAAGGTCAGATATAATATTAACAAAATTAGTAAATATTTATATGTATTAAAATGATATAAAAACAAAGACCTATTCATGCACAAAATGATACAAACGTTAAAAACAATGTCTGGGGGCGCCTGGGTGGCTCAGTGGTTTAAGCCTCTGCCTTCAGCTCAGGTCATGATCTCAGGGTCCTGGGATCGAGCCCTGCATAGGGCTCTCTGCTTGGCGGTAAGCCTGCTTCCCCCTCTCTCTGCCTGCCTCTCTGCCTACTTGTGATCTCTCTCTCTCTCTCTCTCTGTCAAATAAATAAATAAAATCTTAAAACAAACAAACAAACAAACAATGTCTGTTGCTGATAAAGAACTATTTCTCAGATAATTTAAATTCATAGAATCTGCTAGAATTTAAATGAGTTATTTAACAAATGCACATTTAAGTTATAATAAGCATTTCTTTCCTTCTAAACAAAATAAATCTCTACCTCTATGATTTCCAAAAAAGGGAACACTTCAGAGAATGGACAGTGGAGGAAAGATATATTTGGTATGTTTAATATCAGATATTTAAAGTTTATTAATATTTACAATTATTAAAAATTTCGAGGGCTGTTTTATTTTCATAAAACAGATTTACCTACCCATAAAAAATTGTAGTGCAACATTGTCTACAAGAATGCTGTCCAAAGGGACTGTGCAAAGTTTCCCAAAGTTTGCTGCCAGTTTCACAGTATTTATTTCCTAAGAGAAAAGTAAATGCAGGTCAATATTTCATCTACTCATGCACTAGGTTAAAGATCTTTTCATAGATATAAAAATGTTAAACTAAAATGGAATAAAAATAAAGTTTTTTCTTTTCTTCCTCCTTCATGTGGGTTCCCAACAGTCCCAGCCTAGAGAATTTCCTAATTAATAGCTGCTTAGTAAATACGCATTAAAAGTATGATAAGCATTTACTTCTTTCATTATAAAATAATTCTGAATTACTAGAATTTCGAATATTCTCTATTTCTACATATTCCAAATGAAAATGAACATTTTAGGAGCTAAAGGGGATGTCTGGAATGCTTACAATGTCCAAGAATAAATAAATCCCAACATGTTCAAGTACAGACTGAAGCCTATTCACTGAGAAAACAGAAAATATCCCAAAAGAGTAATTTTTCTCCTGAGAGAGTAAAAACTCTACCATCTTTCATTAAAAATATGCTTCTTCTCAGACAACGTAAACAGTAAATTAAATTTAGTTTTCAAAGTCAAAAAGCAAGGTAACTACCTACACATGAAAAAACACAGAAAAACAAAACAAAACATGGGTTCGAAATTTAGACAGTCTAGATGCCTGGGTGGCTCAGTCAGTTAAGCATCTGCCTACAGTTCAAATCATAATCCCAGGGTCCTGGGGTCGAGCCCCGCATTGGGCTCCCTGCTCAGTAAGGAGCCTGCTTCTCCCTCTGCCTGTCACTCCTCCTACTTGTGCTCTCTCCTCTCTCTCTGACAAATAAATAAATAAAATCTTCAAAAAAAATTTATAGAGAATCCACATGTCAAGCACTGTGCTATGTACTTTCTACACATTATTCTCCACAACAATCCTATTGGATAAATATCACCCACCTCACTTAAGAGATAAAAAAGCTGAAATCAGAAAGACTGCCTATGATTACAGAGCTGCCAAGAATGACTCAGTGTTTTCAAAGCCTGCAGCCTCTTCCATAAAACCCGAATGTTTCTGTGTCACCAGTTTCTCTGTATTCCTAAATCCCTATCTCACAATCCTCTATTTAAAAAATAAAGATCAGAGGTGCCTGGGTGGCTCAGTCGGTTAAGGTTTCCCTTCAGCTCAAGTCATGATTCCAGGGTCCTGGGATTGAGTCCCCTGTTGGGCTCCTTGCTCAGTGGGGAGCCTGCTTCTCCCTCTACCTCTGCTCCCCTGAACCCCACTCATGTGCTCCATCTCCCTCTTGCTCTGTTCTCTGTCAAATAAATTAATAAAATCTTAGAAAAAAAAAAAAAAAGGAAGAAGAAGAAAGATCAGAAGGTTCTTCTGAAAGTTAGGGTGCCTTAATTAGGGGCAGATACTAAATTAGATGTAGTTAATACATAATGGAGAAGAAAAAGAACTTGAGAAAAGGGGAAAACTTCCTCTCTAATTAGTATTTCCCTTCATATAAATACTGTATAAATAGATAACTGACTTAAAATGTCTGGCATAAAGCAACCTGGTGCCAGCACATGTTTTCTCCTAAGTCTTCTTTCTTCAAACTTACCACCTCTTTCTTTCCCAGAAGCAGCTCCACATATGAGATGTAGAAGAGTATTCATCGTAACTTTATTATTGTAATAAAAAAGATAAACAGCCTTCTAAGATTTCAAGATGAGTGGCACGGTTAAAAAACTTTATCTCTGTGGAGATTCTGACTTTTCTTCCCAAGTGAACTAATTAAAAAGGTAAAGCTTGAGACTCAAAAAAGAATTGACGGGCTTCAAAACAAGGTATCTAAATTTTAAAGGGCTCTGCTATCAAAAGATTCCTGAACATTGGGGCACCTGGGTGGCTCAATCAGTTGAGCATCCAACTCTTGATTTCAGCTCAAGACATTTACTCTGGGTCCTAGAAGCAAGCCTTGCATTGGGCTCCACACTCTGGGGAGTCTGCTTGAAGATTCTTTCTCTCTCTCCCTCTCTCTCTCTCAGCAACACCCCCACCCGCTCCCACTCATGTGCTCTCTTGCTCTCAAAATAAATATTCTTCTATACTGAATGTGCAGGAGTATATAATTTTAAAATACAGTTAACTGAAACAAAGACAGACATACACATAAACTCAGGTATTAGACAAATGCAGGCCTCAAGTAATGAGTTGTAATTAATTCAGCAACTAAACTCAGTATTGATAAAAATCAGTCTTCTATTCCTTAAGAAATTTAAAATTTAAATACATTTTAAATTACAAGCCCAGAGAGTCACAATAAATTTCCAAAAGAGAAAGCCAGAAAAAAAAATTGACTATACTGAAATCTAAGGTAGTAAAAAAAGCTCTTTTCTGTTTCCAAGGCCCAAATCTCTGCTCTTCTCCAAACAGCTACCTATAATTACTGTTTCTAATTCATCTCTCTCCATTTTCTCCTGGACCAGTTCCAATAAGGGTTTCTCTCTGCTACTCCAAAATGCTATTATCAGATCACCAATATTCTCCTGGTGGCAAATCAAATGGTCAATTCTAAATCTTCATCTTACTCAACTTATTAGCAGCCTGAGACATACCTGATCTCTTACTTCCTTAAAAACTTTCTATAATTGGCTTCTGGAATATCACACTCCCAGGTTTTCCTTCAATTTCACCAGTCACTTACTCTGTTTCTTTAGGTAGATCTTCAACTTTGTCTTAAAACTCTAGTAACTATACTGCCTCTGGACTAAGTTCTTGATTATCTTCTTACATAAACTCACTGTCTTAGGTAACTCCATCCAGTGTCTTTACTTTAAATAAAGATCTAATAATCCTAAGGACCCTCAAAGTTTAGGTCCATCACCAACCTTCCCCTTGAACTACAGTGCTTACCAGCTAGCAGGTCTTTATGATTGTCAAATAAGGATTTCAAACTAAAACATCCAAAATTTGATTGTCGCTTCTCAATCTCCTCTTTACTGTGTTATCTATTCTAGTAAATAGCAACACTGTTCATGCAGTCAGGCCAGAAATTCTAGGAATCCTCCCTGAGTCCTTCCCCCCTCCCACTCCATATTTAATCTATTAGCAAATCTGTTAGTACTACATCCAATTTCTAATTACTTCCCACAACCTCTGCAGACATCTCACAGTGGACTAAACCAATTGTCTCCTAAATGATCTTTTAGTCTCCATTCTTATTCCCGCCAACTCTACCACAGTATCTAAACATCACAAAGACCCCAAGTGATTATTTTACCTCATAAGTCAGGTCATGTCACTTGCCAGCACAAATCTCCAACGGATTCCCATCACAATTAGAATTTTTTAAAAATCAGGGCACCTGGGTGGCTCAGTGAGTTAAGCCTCTGCCTTCAGCTCAGGTCATGATCTCAGGGTCCTAGGATTGAGCCCCGCATCCAGCTCTCTGCTCAGGAGGGAGCCTGCTTCCCCCTCTCTCTGCCTGACTCTCTGACTACTTGTGATCTCTCTCTCTGTCAAATAAATAAATAAAATCTTTAAAAAAAAAAAAGAATTTTTAAAAAATCTTACTATGGTAGATAAAACCATATATGATATAATCCCTAAGGTTCCTCTCCAATTTTATTACTACTACCATCCTTTCTCATTCATTCTGTACCAGCCATGCTGACCTACTCTAACTCACCAAACATCTTCCTATCTCAGGACCTCTGCGTATGATTTCACCTCTGCCTGAAAGATTCTTTAAAAAAAAAAAAAAAAATCTCAACACTTTCTCATTATTCTATCAGATTTCTCTAAGCTCAAATGTAACCAAATCACTCAGCATCTATCTAAAACATTCCTAGACGTTCTCTATCTCTCTACTTTGCTTTACTTGTTATTTTTTATATTTACTTATTTTTAACATGTTTTTTAACATTATATAATAATTTATTTATTGGTTTATTTTTTGACTCTTCAACTAAAACATAAGTTCTATGAAGAGAGAGCTTTTGCCTATTAGGTCCATCTAAAATGGCGCTCAATGTATAAAACTATGTAAGTGTTGAATTTTTAATAAAAAATGAAAAGATGAATAAATAAACCAATAAATAAAATCTTTAATTGCTGTAGCATTTTTCAGGAAATATTTTAATCTCTTTAGTTTTAACAAATACTTTTTTCTGCAAATCCTTTTGTGGAGGGCCACACTAGTTAATATTTCACATCTTGTCATTTGCTAGATATTTAAGTGAATATAAAGTATTTATAACTAAACATTAATTTTAAAGTACTTTACTTACTTTGCCTGACTGCAATCGCTGTATTCTTGAGTCACATACTTTCTTTACAAATAGTAAGCTATTTATTTGATTCTTGATAGTGTTGATATCTAAATACAAACAAATTGATTATGAGCTAGTGCTAATGTTATTTATGAAATACTTTAAACATGTATATACGTAATTTAACATGAACAGAACAAACAATAAAAAAAATCTGAAATTTTATAGTGAAATTATTTAATTAAAATTAAACCATGCCTATTATTTTTACTTTAGAGGTAATTACAGTATCAACAGCCTCACATTCAGAAAATTATAATACTTTTATTCTTAACACATATTAACATAGTAAGATTTAGACTTAGATAAGGTGAAAATAAATAATAGCATAAAGTGACTTTTGGGTAAAGTTTTGTTTAAAGATAGAATAATGATTAAAGAAGTACACATTTCTGTACTTAAATGAATTACTTACCATCACCAACTGTATCTAGAGATCGAAGATACTGTAATTCTTCTGCTGCCTTATCTCTGACTGCTTCTAGCTCTCCAATATTGTCACTCAATTTAATAATGTTCATAAAGGCCTCATAGTTGCAATTAGAATCACGGATCTGAAAATAAAGTTTAAAAAACAGGTGGGAGAAGGACTCAGGAAAAAAAGAATCTTCAGGGTCTACCACATGCTAGGTAGGAAGAATCTTATATCAAGTGTTTACCCAGTGCTTTTAAGAACACAAAATGAAAACCTCTGTACTCATGGTCCCAAAGAAAGGTAAAGGAGTAGAAGATGAGATTAGTGGCAGTGAAAGGCCAATCTGGTAGGGTACAGTACATGTGGTAGCTTCCATTCTGAGTGGAATGAAAAGTTATTGGAGGGTTTTAAACAGAAGACTGGTGTTCTCTGACCTAAACTGAACAGAATCAATGTGATGACATAATTAAATGTTTTTTTCCCCTAGCCACGTGCTGTTTAAGAACAGGAATGGGAGTTGAGAGTTGAGTTGAATTTAACCAGAGTGTGGCTTCATCAAAAATATAACAAAGTGAGACACAAAAAGTACTCGAGGATATTATAAAGTGACTAGCTGCTGTGACTGCCAACAAAACTTAAAGGGGTAAGGGAAGCGATGAAAAGGCAGCAGACTTGGGATACTGTACATTCTCTATAAGGAGTCGAAGAACTGGGGACTATAGAAGTCCAGAACTGGGAAAAAACTAGCTAATAAGCACACAAAAAGATGCTCAATATCATTGAGTCATCATGCATATTTAAGTTAACCACAACAAAACAGCAATGCCAAACAAATGCTCATCAGAATGCAGAGAGATGGGGGATCTCAACTGGTGCTAGGGAAGTGCAAAATCAGAACAAAACTTCAGAAGACTACTCGGCAATTTCTTTCACTTTATGCAAGTTTTATTTCAATGATTAAAAAAAAAGGTAGGTTATTAAAGACATGATTTTTCTAAGAACACATTAAGAAACAATTAAACAGCTGTCCATTTATCTGCTCTAGTTGAAAATAACAATATGAGGTAATTTATTCCACAGTAAGAGAGAAGACTCATTCTTAATTAGTTCGTATTTTTAAAAAAAGACACATTTAGAGATGAATAATGCAAATCCATCCATACTATCTTTAGAAATGACTTAAAAACTATCGTTGGATAACACTAACATATTATAGAAGGAAGATATGTTACTACTAGACTGTCGTTCAAATAGAAATGAACTATATGGTTAGATATTAATGTAACTGAACTAAGAATAAGAACTGAGCTCATTTTAATATTTATAATACCTATGGATACAAGGTTTTCCACATAATTAATGTCAAAATACTAAACCAGACAACAAAGTAGGCTAAAGATCCTTTATTGATAAACTTTGCTCTTTTAAATATATTTTCTAATTCTATACTGCAAAATGAAATAAGGACCAATTCCTGTTCATTAATGAGAAAAAAGACCCAAGCATCATACACATACACAATAGTAGTATTAATCCAACTCTAGGGAGAACAAGTAAAGACATGGTGGTTTGAATTTCTTTTAGAGCATATTTTAAATTCCACCCCCTCAAATGTTTACACCATGTACTTAATTATATAGTTAATATAAATTCAGCAAAAGAAAAACTGAAAGCTGAAGAAAAATATATAGGAAAAAAATTATTCCTAATCCCGGGAGTACCGGGAATTAAGTACCACAAATAAGATTATACAGTACTATATCTTGATTAAGTTTAGTATAAAACATCCATTTTATTGTGTTCTAAAAAAACATTTCCTAATACCATTTACCCTTATTTCATTACTGAAATGTTTTTGAATTTTACCTCTTTACCTAGTTTTTAAAAAATTATTTTTTTATTATATAACTAATACTCCCTATAAAGTACAATATATACACAAGAGAAAAAATTAAAACATTCATAATCTTTCATAATCCTACATAATCTTAAGACTTCAAACAGTATATATACTATCAGAATTATACAGTCATTAATAAGAATATAATTACTTATATATTTGTTTTTTAAAAAGCATTCTCTACACACACATCACCTCTGGTTATCCTTTTCATATAAAAAATATAAACCTCTTGGGTGCCTGGGTGGTTAAGTGCCTTCTGTCAGGGCATGATCCTATGATCCTGGGGTCCTCGGATCAAGCCCCACAACAGGCTCTCTGCTTAGTAGGGAGTCTGCTACTCCCTCTGCCCCTTCTCCCCACTTATGATCTTGCTCTCTCACACACTCCCTCTCTCAAGTAAATAAATCTTTAAATATATATATATATATATATATATATATATATGAGCATTTTTTCATTATTCAAGATACACTACCATCATTCTTTTTAATGGCTTCATGTATTCTATTTTATCAATATGCCATAACTTATTAAACTAATCCTCCATGCAGAACACTTAAATTGCTTTCAATTTTTTAGTTTTAAAAGCAATGTTGCCATTAATGTCCTTAAATATAAATTGTTTCAAACTTATTATTACTTAAGAATAAATTTCATGAGTACAACTCCTAACCAAAGGATATGCATTTTCAAAAATTTTAACTAGGCAGATATGCATGTTTTTAAAGCTTTCACAGAGCCCAACAGGACACTAAAAAAATTGACAAAGGAAATGAAGAACCAGTTGTATGGCCTCCAAAAAAGGCTCTAGGAATACAAAGCTAACAAAACAATTTCTGCCTGCAGGTAACCCACAACCTGGTGGGAGAGAGAAAAACTGCTGCAGCAACAACACCAAACAATGTCCAGTTTGATAATGGCTACTAGAAACAAAGAACAATAAATTCTTTCCTAAGAAAGCTAGACTGAGTTAATAGAAGACAACTGTGGTGAAGAAAATGAATCAAAGATCTAGAAGCATATATCAAAGAACTCTCAGCAATAGCCCATTTACAACTCTTTCTTAACTATGAGTTTATTGAGGAAAAGCATATATAATCAATCACAAAAATAATTAGACCCAGTAAACTTAGTAATCACTAACCCTCTAATACGTCTGACAGATGAGAAAGCTATGACTTACAGAAAACTAGCTACTCACACACACACTAAGCAACTTACAGAAACAAGTCTAGAACACACTTCCTCCCATTCTTAGTCCAGTGTTCCTTTTACTATACTTTCCTCCATTATACGGTATAAAAATGTAAAGTACAGGCTATTTTAGTAGTTCAGACCACAAGCTCTGTTTAAAAGCAAACAGCAACTTTTTAAAATACTCATCATCTATCCATTCAGGCAGTAAAATATCCTTTTCTTTTTAATTTAAATAAGTAGTAACAACACCAAAATTGTAACAGGATTATCTTATTAACAAACTTCTTAAAAGAATTTGGCTGCATGTTCAACATATTAGCAAACAGAAATACTAGAAATACAAAGATTATCTTTAAACATATTTTTACCTAATTTCTTGAATAAATTATTTCTTGATCATCCTGCTCCCCAAGTACTGTTTCTAAATATCAAAAAAACTGTTTTAAAAACAGTCATAATTTTAGAAAGTACATACCATCCATATGATATATTGATTAATATAATCAGGATCACTGAGTTGATTTATTAATGGAAGAAGAATTCCTCGTGCAAGAATTTCCTGGACAAAAATTGTAAAAAACAAAAACAAATTTAACCTAATATATTTATCAAATCACTAGCATAATGTAAATAACACAATGCTGTTACTTAAGAAAGGTATGATACACGTAAAACCCGAAAGTCAACACACTCTTATAAAAAGATGAACAAATACACCTCAGTTAAAATAAGTGAGATGAAGCTACCTATACCAACCTGGATATATCTCCACAATGGCATCTAGAGTTGAGTGGAAAAAAACAAAAGGGTAGCTCTAGTATGTTAGCATTTACACCAATTTTTAAAAAGGCAAAACATGGCACCATATGTATTTATGAATCCTTACGTCTATATTAGAAATATAAAAATAAAAAACAAAAGGAAAAGATACACACCAATTTTAGAACAGTAGTTACCTTCAAGAGAGGAACAGAGCTACTATAGTAAAACATTAACATTGGTTAAATTTGGGTAGTTGGTACATAAATGTCTACTGTATTATTCTCTATACTTGTCTGTGTTTGAAATCTTTCCTAATAGAAAATAAAACAGTATGTTAATTATTCATCTTTCTCTAGAATAGATCCTCCCATTTTTTATAGCTGTTTATGCTCCTACCTACTAAAATCCTGCTCTTCCTCCCAGGACTGACTACAGAATAAAATCTCCAACCAAATAAGCCTCGATCATTTCAGCTGAGTATTTTTGTATTTTCATTTTTAAAATATACCCATGCCCTGAATTTATGGGATTTGTCACTTATCATCCTCTATGTAATTGTCTGTTTTCTACTTCTCTAGAACGCTACCACTATCTAGTAATGTTCTGCATATGAATGACACCTGTCAAGTGATCTACTAATTTGTCAATCTTCAAAACTATTTACTCAAGGTCATATTCCTCAACATGGCAGGCATTACATAAATAGTAAAGGGATGGAAATGAAGAGTTTAGTGCTGATTCTATTAATACCACAACTTCACCCATTATTAATCTTTATTCTTTTATGAATGCTGAAACATAAATCTATGAAATACCATTTCTAAAGAAAACTGGAAAGACTAAGTAACTGTAACTTTTACAGGATATTTTACTTTTCTAGTTAAAGGGCCAATTTATTCCTTTTATCAAGATCTCTAACTTATCTGGTCCATTTTCTGATATAATCTCATAAAAGGCAGCCTTCATTTAATTTCCTTTAGAGAGATATTTTATATAAACTCTACTTTTGTAAGCTGTGTAAGTCTCTGAAAACTATTACCAATGATGAATTAACATTTCCAAAAGGCACTCATGAAGGTTCCAGTAACTTTTTTTTAAATTATTTAATTACTTTCTTTTCTTCATATCTTTTAAATAATCTCTACACCCAATGTGGGGCTCAACCTCACAACCCCAGATTAAGAGTAGCATGTTTTACCAAGAGGTGCCAGGTACCTCTTACTTATTTTTTATTTTTACTAATTAATTTTTTCAGTAATCTCTACATCTAATGTGGGATGGTTCCATTAAGTTTTAGAAGTATCTTTTGAGACATCTTACAATCTCAAATTATAAGGAATTGTTTAGGGGTGCCTGGGTGGCTCAATTGTCAGCCATCTGCCTTCAGCTCAGGTCATGATCCGATGATCTGAAGGTCCTGGGATCAAGCCCGGCATCAGGCTGCCTGCCCAGTGGGAAGCCTGCTTCTCATTCTCCCACTCCTCCTGCTTGTATTCCCTCTCTCACTGTCTCTCTCTTCAAGTAAATAAATAAAATCTTTTTTAAAAGGAGGAGGAGGAGGAATTGTTTATTCTTTTAAGATTAGTTTTAGTCTCCAACTTCTCAAAAATTATATTATTTACATAATTCTTTCCTTCAAATTCTCTCTGGCCACATATGTTCAAATTTTAAAGTGTGCTTTGTAAGGAGAAAATTCATAAACAAAACTATGTTTCTTGAAAGTTTCTTTTCAAAGTAAGAAAAAAAAAGCACGTGGGTAATAACTGTGAATAAATTTAGTGCTTCTCATTAGTCAATGCAATTAGTCAGTCTGTCTTAGAAAATTACATTGATCTTCTAATTTGCCTCATGAAAGGGTTTGGTTAGTCAAGATGTAATCATATGACTCAACAATTTCTATACAGGTTCTAGTGAGAGCTCTAAATATTCCAAAATAAGTAGCCATTTCCATGTAATTTCTACCTTAAGAAAAGCACCAGCTGTCAAATAGGAAGGCTGAAAAGCTACAAAGTCCCTGAGGCCATGAATCTTTAAATAAATAAAGCGTGATAATGGACAGAAAGCAAGACAATTAAATAGCAATTACTGTAGTCAAATGCTATGATTTGTACAATTCCTATAAAAGACCCATATAAAGGAAAGAAGTAAGAACTCTTTAACCTGTTATTTAAACTGAACAAAACCATCTTTAGGAAAACTTAAATTACCAACAAAAGAAAACTGATAAAGAATTACCAAGTTAAAAGAGAAAAACCTGATTTGCTGAATGCAGGACTCTGTAACTACACACAATCAGATTCAACCATAAAGACAGACCAATCTACAGCAAAACATATTTGCTCTTTAAATAACCCTACTTGCTTTAAATGATAATCTCATGTAACAAGGCAGATCTTCATTCATGTCTCCTAAGAGTCAGCTTCATCTTCGGGAGCTGCAGCAATATGTGCACCTTCAGCAAGGAGGGCAAAAAGTTTCCCCTCATTAAAACCAATTCTCTGACGGGGTATGTGCTATGTGCCAGGCACTGTGATAACCACAAGGTACATGATGATGATACAGATAGGGCCTGTGTCTTAGTGGGCCTTACAGTACCACCAGGGAGGGGGAAGGCATCAAGTAAGTAAATTATAATACTGAAATATGGTATATGCTTTGAAGGAAAAAAAAATTGTGTACTTACCTACAGCAATAGGGAATTATGAGGGCACTTTAGATTGGGTGGTCAGGGTAGGCATTTCTGAAGAAGTGGGATATGAGGGGTGAATACACCTTAGCCAAGAGAATATGGGGAATCATTTTGACCAGGAAAAAAAAAAAAGAGTATGAGGTGGGCCCTACATAGGGAGAAAATGGCACTTTTGGAGAAGACAGCATAGTTGGAATACAGTGACAGCATGGCACAGAGACCAGAAAGGTAAACAAAGTCCTTGTAAACCTCTGGAAGAACTCGAGATGGGAAATATTTGCTGGATGGTCACAGCCTTTACTAGGATGGAGAGGAGACTAAAAGGCAAGACAGGACATGGAAACAAGAGTAAGATTTCCATTTTAAACATTTAAAGTTTAAAAGGACTGTGAGCTAATCGAATGGCAATTTCAGTGAGCAGCTAGTCAGAGGCACCTAAAGTTCAGAAGGAAAGTCTGTAGGACAGATATAAATTGGGAAGTCACTAGCACTTGGAAGGTATTTAAAGCCACAGGAATGGGTGAGCAAAAAGAGGGCTCAGGCCTAAAGAACTTGTAAATTTGAAAGTTAAATACAAGAGGAGTTAAAACATGTAAAAATGACTAAAAAGGAGACCAAAGGAAGAGAAAAATCAGGACAGCAATGACATGGAACCCAAGCAAAGACAAAATTTCAAGAGGGAAAAGTTTGCCAGCCATGTGAAAGTTGCGGAGACACTGCCCAGTAGCGACTGTCTAGTGAACCGGGTAGATAAAGATTCTGCTGCCGAACAAATACTCAACACAAATGAGTACTGTAACTGATCAGCAGTGTCTCCTTCAGTGGCAGATGTGAATCTAGTGATATACGTGTCAGGTATTTACCGCCCTTAATAATGACTGGCCCAAATAATTGGTCTTAACAATACATCATTTATCAGATATTTCCCATCAAAACCAAGCGTTTACTACTCAATTCACAGCACCACCACCCTACTTAAGAAGTGTACTGAACTCAAGTTAGGTAGGTACTAAGAAATTGTTGGTATTGCTTAAATAATAACATACGAGTATAAAAGCACACCTCAGGAATTGGCATCTATTTAGCTGGATGGTAGACAAAAAGATCCTAAGCTTTCATTTTCATATAAATTAGACACTTACCCATTCAACCAGCATAAGGGTTGTACCTAGCTAGCAAGCATTTCTCAGTCACAACCAGCAATCAAAATAAGAGTGTTATTCCTTTACATCTGTACATGGAATTTTTTTTAAAAGATTTGTTTGTTTATTTATTTATTTATTTGACACAAAGAGAGAGTACAAGCAGAGGGAGAGGGAGAAGCAGGCTCCCTATTGAGCAGAGAGCCTTGTGCAGGACTTGATCCCAGGACCCTGAGATCATGACCTGAGCTGAAGGCAGCCGCTTAACTGACTGAGCCACCAAGGTGCCCCTGTATATAGAATTTTACTCTGATGTTTATATCGGGGGAATAAAAAGTCCAAGACTACTGTTCTCATCTACTTTAACTCATTTTCTAATCATAAGAAGCAGAATCATAGGTGCTTAGTTTTTTTTTTAAGTTTCTATCCAAAAGTGTTATTTTAATTAACCTAATTCCAGTAAGTTTATAGGTAAAGCTATATTAAACAAAATTTAAAACGTATCTTTGCTATAACCCAAAATCCCCGTACCAAATTCTAACTCAAACAGTTCTCAAAGTATTGTCCAGGGATCTCTTGGGGATGGAAGGAGACAAGCACAGAGTGATATTTTCAAAAAGGAACATGATGGTGTGATGATAGAAATCAAGTAATGGAATGTGTGCCTGTATAGTCTTGTGTTTCAAAATTTCTTAGTTTTAACTTATAATACAGTAAATGTTGATAAAGCCCATGTGAACAAAAGCACTTTGAGGTCCTCAATAATTTTTAAGAATTTAACGGGGTCCTGAAACCAAATATTTTGAGAATTACGATACAAAGTTTCTTTATAGCCATTTATTTGATATGAGTTTAAGCTTACCCTGACAAAGTATCGCATGATCTTGTTCTGGAAATCTCCAGGAGGTAGCAATAAATATAATAAGACCTCACACAAATCCCTTAGGAATCCTAAAAATGAAAAAGCTAGCTATAATAACATTAGAAAATAAAATCTCCACCGATTTATGATTAAAAAAACACATAAAGGCATAAATAAGTAGTTTCCCAATTATAGCAGCTTATTATTTTAATAATTAATTAGTACAAATCAGTATTGATTAAATTTTTTCATTATTTTCTAAACAGTAACGATTCATTAATCAAACTAATATTTTTTTTATTCTGCTCAGTTTTACTGTGTTTTTGAATCACTGAGAAACTTCAATTATCAAAGTGTTTTGCCCCAAAACAGTTATGGTTGTACCACATATTCTACGCTTCTACTACACATTATCTTTGCATACTTACAAGCTATTTACGTATTTTAAAATATACCTGTAATTCTTCTTTCAAGAAAGAACCTCCACTATACCGGTAGGTAATTAAGAAAAGAAAAAGAATATGCTCTTCTACTTTACTACTTCCTCAATTTACATGAAAGTACTACAAATCACTGTAACTATTTCTTAGACTTAGCTATTATTTCATGCCAGTGTTAATGAAATGACAATTAAAAATTCAACTGTAGTGTAAATATAAAGAAAAGAAGAAAAAGGAGAGGAAGAGCACAATTTAAAAATTGAAGAAAACAATTTCCACAACTAGAACAACCTCTTTGTAGTTCATACGCTGACACTTCCTGGGAATAGAATTATATAGCTGATCCTGTTAATCCAAAATGCGCCAAGTAGCAAAGACTCTTTCTGAGAGGCTACAAAACTAGGAAAAGATAACCTCCTCAGTGAAAGCTTACCCAGTTTAACCTCTCACAAAGAAAAGACAAGTCCATTCTACTCCATAAAATGTATTTGAAATCATTATACTCATTCTCTTAGAAAATATTTTAGGGTAATAGGTATACTCTTGAAGTAGAATTGATAAATTCAAGGAGAAGATAAATTACTATATATCCTAAAAAGTAAATTTACAGTTATAAATTGTTTGTGCCTGCTCTATCTTAAAAGAAGAGAAGTAATCTTTAATTACCATCTTTAAATTTTAAAGATGACTTTTAAAAAAAGAGAAAAAAATCTGAAAACTACTTTTAAGAGTTAAAAAATAAGATGAATAGTGCCTATACTATGCTACCCATCCTGTAAGAATAATTTCACCCTTTACCCGTATTTTGTTCCCTGGCTCTGCTAACTTGTCTCTAACCAATATGAACGGTTACTATTCTCCAAAGAGTTAAACTGAGAAGAAAACCTTCTTCATCTTTGGGAGAAGTGCACACTAGATCACGGCAAACATCCTTCTCCATTTCAACTTCAACTTCAAAGAAAGTATCCACCAGATCTTCTGCTGTACCTGCACAAAGAAAAGAATAAGACATAAAGAATGATAAAGACATATTTTAAATAAAGTCCTAATTTTCAAAGGGAATAAAGGTATTACCTTTTGCTTGATCATCTTTCTCTGTTATCTTCTGTTGAGCCTTTCTGAATACTCGTAGGTGTGTGCCAAAATCATCTACAATACGTGTAGTAAAATAAGGTTGCCAGTCTATTTCTTTTGACCTTATAAAAAACACATTAGATAAAAGCATTATATAAATGTTTTTTTTATCAAAAAGTTAAAGTAAGTTAATTTTAACGACTAATTAAACAACCCTTTCTGAATTCTCTACATTCTTCTTAGTTATACAGCCCAATTCTGAACCAAATACCTTTGGTATCAGTCTAAGTGGTTTCTGTTTGCAGATACTAGCACTTGAACACTTGACCATTTGGAATAATAGGTCTTAAAGAATGATACAAAATACCACAATACTCATGAAAAACGTGATTATTAATTTTATTAAGTTACCTATTACTCTACCTTAAAAGTAACAAACCTCAAGAAACACTGCTAATTTAGTGCATCAGTGAAATAGTAACAAATAAAACAGTAAGCCAAAAGCAGTTTACACCTCTCCTTGGATTGATATTTTTAAATAAGTGGGTTTTTTTGGTGAATTTTCCTTAAATTAGCACTCAAATTAATTTACCTTTTTAGGAACATACCAAATAGAATAAAAGAATCTATTTATTCATGAAGATGCTGGGCAGCAGAGGAGCAAAGAAAAAGTATACTATAATTCACTGTTATTTAACCAAATATATATAATAAAGAAGCCTGTGAAGAAATTAACTTGATTACTGTCTCATTTTGAGAGAAAACGTAAAGGTGTTAATGGCTTTGAGGAATATAACAGATGCCTATTTTCAAAAACACAAGTTATTAACACTCATCTTTTTTTAAATACACAACTATAATTTTGTTACACATGTGGGAAGAAAGAGTAAATTATTAAGTACATGAACACAAAAATTAACATTAAAGAGGTAACCTGTATTCAGGGATCTGAGAAGGGGTTAACATTACTTAAAATACTACAAGAGCCATCATACATAAGCATATATTAACTTTGGTAACAATACTTGGAGTCAATATAAAACCAAAAAGAAAATTTAAACCTAGCAGTCTCTAGAGTCTCCTTTTCACTTATTAAAAACAAAAAACAAAAAACCACAATCTGTATAAGCATCTTTCAAAAGTTTTTACATGAATTATTGGTAAAAAATCATCCACATCTAAGAATTTTATAACAGAATTCAGTTGGTACAGGCCATTGCTCATTTTATCCATAAAAGGGTCATTCCAACAAATTTAGAAGAAAGCTGAATATATAATCTCTCAAAATATATCTGTTTTGTTTCATGGTACAATGTTATTTATACAATTTATTGAAGTTTTCAAACAAAATAAAATTTACTAATTTTAGAAGGCATTTTAAACCCATCGCAACTCATTAGAAAGGATATAACATTGACAAAAAGTGAAAATAAATAAGCAATGAAAATACATAAAATTTATTTTATATTTAAAATAGGGATTTCTACTTTCAATACACAAATATGTTTGAGGGTGGAAAAAACCAGGAGCAGTATTCTGTATCTCCACCTAAGATCATCATTTTCCCTTTGCTTGACTCACTTTCACTTATTATGTACAAATTTAATATAAGTCTCAACTCAAAGGAACTTTTTTAGGTTAGGAAGGTAAGAACAACAGTAGTACATTGCTTCCCTTTGTAAATCAGGAAAACATCTAACAATTTCTAGTAGTATTTGTCTTAACAAAATTTGAAAATATTCTCATGACAGTGAAGTACTTTCTAAAATTAGAGTGTACTGATAAATACATACTAAATGGAACATGAATATAAAAAACAATTAAAAAGTCATTCAATTTACATAATAGCCACACTTTCTTCTATTGATCCATATGTAGTTTTCTAGTAGAGCTCTCAGTATCAATTATTCTTAAATTATGCCTATAGTCAAGACTTTTTTTTTTAAAGATTTATTTATTTATTTATTTATTTATTTGAGAGCGAGAGAAAGAGAACATGCTAGCACTAGAGTGGGGTAAGGGGAAGGAAGAGGGGGAGAGAGAATCAAAACCAGCCTCCACATCCAGCACAGAGCTAAAGGCGGGGCCCACTCTCATGACCTGAGCCGAAATCAAGAGTGGGGACGCTCAACTAACTGAGCCATCCAAGTACCCTTATGGTCAAGGCTCTTTTTCACTTTGTTTAAAGTATTCCCCCACATGATTCCTATTCTAATAAAAGCACCTAGATTATTACCTACACTTTCATATTACTACTATTATAAGATTTCCTTTCCTGAACTTAAATATAGGAGAACATTATTTCCTATATGACCAAGAGAATCAGTAAAATATTCAACCCTACCTTGAAAACCTAAAATTCATAGTAGGCCCCTGAAGCTTATGTATCTTGATAGAACAGTTTCAAGAATTACAGAAGTTAACTACGGATGCAAACAAGTAAGGAAGTTTTCTTAAAGTACAAGAGCAAAAACCAAACAAGTACACCTCTCTGAACATATATTTCCATGCCTTTATCTCAATCCCTAATGCCAGCATTCTATTCTTGGCCTTTTACTTTAAATGGTCTCCGACATCCACCTTTGTCTCCTCTCCATTCTGTTTTCCATAGAGCAGCCAGAGTGATTTTTTAAATATACAAATATGATAGTACAAAATAAGAAATTCAAAAACTGTTCAATAACTCCCCATCGATCTTCAGGCTAAGCATGACTACTTTCTCTAAGATCTTGCATACCCAGGAAGTCCATGCTTACTTCCGCATCACCATCTCTTCCACCTTCTTCTTTCCTTTCTGTTCTACTGACTTATAGGCTTTAATTCCATTTCTCAAATATATCCCTTATCTCAGAGCCTTTGGACAGCCTAATCCCTCTGCCAAGTTTGCTCACCCCGGCCCACTCTTCACATACTTCCCTGCTCTCCCCAACATTGACTTGACAATTCCCACTTACTTCAGAGTTCATCTAGAATATCTATTCCACGTGGCAGCCTTCAATGCCCCTCGGCTTTCTGTCTCTCTGCCATATTCCTTCAGACTAGGTATGGATCTCCAGTTATACATTCTCATGGCACCAAATTTGTCACATTTCACAGCACTTTCAACCTACAGTTAAATAATTTAACTGGTGAGATAAATTCAACTACTCAACTGCTGATAAAAATCTCAGGAAGCGAGAGACTTAGTTTTATTCTGTGCTCATTTTATTCACAGTGGTATCTCCTGTGGCTAAATAATGTATTGAACATTGGAGACACTTGATACATAGTGACTTACTGATTCCTCTTTCAGGGTCAAAACACTGTTAATAGGTGCCTCCTGGAGAAAGGCAACATGAGGTGCTTATGACAGACTCTTTACTCCTTAAAGTTCTGAAATAGAGCATAAAGTGAGGAGCTCCTTTTGCCTTTCTAAATCCTTAAACTATATAATGCTAATAACCAAAAAAATCCAATGAATATTCCATACACATGGGCTGACAATGAGAGTATATAAATTGCTTCACTGGTTCCATCTTTGTAAGCAATGTACAACTCATCACCAGTAATGCAAAAAATACACCAAAATCAATTAAGGATTTCTGTAAAAGAGCACTGGATTGGCATATATATGTCTCTAATTCAAGTAAAACATTCACCATTTCATTTGTTGTGAAATTCAGCAAATCACCTCACTTCCCAGGGTTTGTTCTCTTTAAGGACACTTAGAACTTTAAGTATCCATGATTATAGTACCTGAACACCCATCTAAGCATGTGTAATACACACACATATACACACACACACAGAGTACGTGGGAAATTGGTAACTGGTGAGTAAATCAAAATATTTGATCAAAAGAGTCATGAATATATTTCATTTTAACTTAAATTATATAAATCTTTCAATATAAGACTAAGACCTTTTATTTCACTAAGGTTTTGCCAATAGATATTAATGTGGCTTTTGTCTTTAATAAAACATTACAACACTGCAACAGTTATAGTATCCAGTTTCTTTTAAATGGCATGACAACTAATGACACTTCTGAATAAATCTGAATGCAGAGTCCTTTAAGACTTTCTACCAATATTTCATTAGTTGTCTCCTGCAAACCTGAATCAACTGCAATCTATCTCTCAACTAGCTTGAGTAAAATTCTGAAGCAAATGCCTTAGTTTTTACAGAAACGACCTTGTCATTCTCACACTTCCTCCAACCACATAGGAGTAAATTAAGTGATGACTATAATAAAAAAGTAAAACTGGGATACATGGGTTCAGAAACAAATACAATTTTTTTTTAACATGCTTGATTACTTATTTCTTCTAAATCACACATGTTCAGCTCACACTAGGGACCAAGTGCATCAGATTTTCTAGGGACAGGACCCAGGCACAGAAGTGGACAGAAGTACTAGAAAGTGGTGTCCTCGCCTAGCTTTAATGCTACGGGCATGGGTCAGTATGTCTTCGAAAAGGAATGGAGAATTCTGGCTAAAGTAAGTTAAGAAAATTGCTACTACAGTAGTCCAGAATTGGGACCGTGCCAAAAACAACTTAAAATTTTGTTCATGATAACCAGACACAAAGGAGAAGTTAATTAAGTGATATGTTAGAATTTAAAAGTATTAAATAAGGCAGCTACACTTAAAACAAATCTTAATGAATGTCTCTGAAATGGGAGAAAGAAAGGATTTAGGAATGAGCAAAAGGAGGAAATGAGCATGGTATATGCAAGGGTCACCATGAGTAGACTTGCCTGACTAGAGAAGTGGGTAGTTGGATTTGGCAATAAATGTAATCTTCACATTCTTGGCAGAATACTTTCCTGGAAAAGGTCTTTTCTATCAAAATGAAACAAATAAAAAATGATTTTCCCACAGGAACAATCCTATAATAAATGTTATGTTCCTGATGCCACACTATTTTTTCTCAGAAATGACTACTAAGACCTTATTTGAAAACAGTAAAAAGGGGACTATAAATTGCATAGTGTGTATAAGTGTGTATATTTTTCTATGTAAAAAAAAAAAAATTGGCAATTTAAAAAAAAAAACTTTACTGTAGTATAATTCCTAGTTTTTCTGTATAGATTTTAACAAGCAAGCATCTTTGAGAAGATTTTAAGGAGAGTTTTATTC